ATGTTTGAATAATTTATTGTTCCTTCCTCCTGACTTCTCTTTCTATTAGTGCAGATAACACAGAGTTGATTCTATTAAGTAAATAATTAGTTTATCTTGTTATAATTTTAGTTCCTTAGGGGAGAGAAAGACACTGCTTCATTATATCCAAAGACTGAATCAAATTCAAGCTGATACAATGAAGGTAAGAGGCATCAGATGTTATTTCATGTTTGTTTGTTTTTTAAAAATATAAAGTGATATAAAACAATCATGTAAAATTCATTTTAAAAAGAATGGAAGGAAATATGTTTCTGGGATAGGATTGTGGGTAATGGGGCTTTTTATGTTTTTTGTAAACTTTGAATTTTCTAAAATGAGCACAGAGTATTTAAATCAGAAAAAAAACTACAATGTTTTAAAAGTACATATAGACCATCACTCAACTTGTCAAATATTAACATTTTGCTTTATTTGCATCAGACTGTTATTTTTAGAAGAAAATATTAAAAACAATTGAAGGCCTTCTTTGTACTCCTCCTGGATCCTGTTTTGACCCTTCCCTCCCCAGAAGTAACCATCATCCTGAATTTGTTATCATTTCAATAAGTATTTTTATACTTTTGCTACATGTGTATCCATAAACAATGTATAGTATATCCAGAAAATGTATGCTAAATGATGTATATGCACAAACGAAATGCACTGCCATTGAGTCGGATCCGACTCATAGTGACCCCTCCTTGGGTTTCCAAGGCAGTATTACTACAGAAGTAGATTGCCCAACCTTCCTTCTGAGCTGTGGCTGGTGGGTTTGAACTGCCAGCCTTCTGGTTAGCAAATGCCTTAGGCACTACACCACCAGAGTATAGTGCTAATTTATATCTGTTGTAAACTTTATATAAATAGTATTGTATTATAAGTTACCTTTTAACACTTTCTTTTTTCATTTAACATTGTATTTTTGAGAATCATTCACATTGACACACATAGCCTTAACCAAAAAACCAAATTCACTGCCATTAAGTCTGATCTGACTTACAGCAACCCCCTTGGGTTTCTGAGGCAGTATCACTACAGAAATAGATTGTCCAATCTTCCTTCTGAGGAGTGTCTGGTGGGTTTGAATTGCCAGCCTTCTGGTTAGCAGTCAAATGCCTTAGGCACTATGCCACCAGAGTTCCTTTAGTTAAAAAAAAAAAAAAAAAAAAACCTACTGCCATTGAGTCAATTCCAACTTATAGTGACCCCTGTTGGGTTTCCAAGGTGGTAGATCTTTATGGAGGTTGCTCCATCTTCCTTCCACAGAGTGGCTGGTGGGTTTGAACCACGGACCTTCTGGTTAGCAGTCAAATGCCTTAGGTACTACACCACCGAGCTCCTTAGTCTTCTTACTCCTCAGTTATAGAACTTTTAAAGTTGTATTAAATTGTCTTGTTGGTTTTGGTAAACTTTTTTGGTCAAATACTAGTCCAGATGGTGCGTATATTCCTAAAATTTAATCTATCAGTAATTATTTCTCCCTCCTCCCCAAGTCCTTTCAGACATCAAAATCAAACTTAAGAGTCCCAAGAATCTTTAACAAGCATTTATCTGTCCAGCCTCTATCCCAAAAGCTCTGATTCTAGGAATTTGGAATGGAGCCCCAAGAATGTGGCTTTTTCACAAGCTCTTCAGGTTATTTCTAATACTCACTCAAAAGACTGTTTCGTTACTGGTTGATAACAGGAAATGTGTCCCTGTTGGTACCGATGGTTAACATACTCGTCTGCCAACCAAAACGTTGGAGGTTCAAGTCCACACAGAGACACCTCTGTTGATCTACTTCCAAAAAATCAGCCACTGAAAACGTTATGGAGCACAGCTGTACTCTGATGCTCATGCGCTCACTTGAGATGAATGGACTCATTGGCAACCGGTTTGGTATCAGGACATTATAGCTCTTCCTCTGACTTCTCTAGGTTAAGAAAACTGAGTTTCATACCTTCAAGAAGGTATAAGATACCGCACTCTCCTCTTCCATCCTTTTAAATGAGCACTCCTTTATCAGGGTTTTGTTTCACTTTTTAATTTAATGTACAATATTTGAGTTATTTCACTTTCCTGTGAGAATACATCTTGTAATTTTTCTTTTGCAAGTTAGCCTGCTTATTTTCCATTGGTAATCATGTTTGACAAATTTAATGAATGTGTTTGGTTCAACACTGTAATAACTTTCTTTGATAGTAGTGATTTCTATAGCAAAAACTTCATTTGAAAAATAATCAGATTCCCTTTTTCCCTTTCTGAAAAACTTATCAAAAATACAAAAGACTTGATTCTTTTTTTAAAAAAAATTAAGTAGAATGGTCACATATCAAAAATGATAACTAAATATTTTGTCCAGTATTTGGAAGAAAGGTGCTGTCCTGTATTTGTTTTCTCCATCTTCAGTAGTAGCAGTAAAGGGTATTCTCTTCAGGTAGGACTTAGGTGAGCTTTCTCCATTAGGCAAGATCATCTCAGGTGATCTCTGAGGTCACATTTTCATGATTAACAGTTTGCAAGAAAAAGGAAATTTTAAAGTAATGTTTAAGGAGCAGTCATTAGTGTCATTTGCCTACTTTTATTCTTTTTTTCATTAAAAATAGAAAATCATTAACCTCATTTATAAATTATAAATTATAGTTGTTGAAAACAGATTTTAAAGCTATCAAATGCTGTAACCATTGAGTCACTGCCTAGTGATGAAATCAATACCTTACATGACTTTAGCTTTATCAGTAGTACAATTAAACAAAGCATTGACCTAGTTATCTTCTCAAATACAGATCTTGAGGATTCCTACTCTAGTCTAGTATTCACTTTTTACTCTTTTTAAAATATTTTTACTGAGGTATAATTCATATACCATACAATTTTCATTTAAGATACACAAGTTAATGTCTTTAGTAATTTCCCAAGCTTATGTAACTATCACCAAAATCTAGTTTTAGAACATTTTTTTGTCACTTGAAAAAGAAACTTGCCCATTAACAGACACTCCTCACTCCCTGTCTCCCCAGGTCTGGGTGATCAAGATTTTCTTTCTGTACAGATCTGCCTGTTCTGTACATTTCTTATCTGTTGAGTCATACAGTATATGGTCTTTGGTGACTGACTTCTTTCAGTTAGTATGGTTATTAAGAATAAAGCTGCTGTGAACATTCATGTTGGTTTTTGTGTGGATGTATATTTGCAATTGTCTTATGTATATAACTAGCAGTGTAATTACTGGGTCATGGGGTAATTCATTGTTTAACCTTTTGAGGAGCTGCCAGACTGTTTTCCAGAGCAGCAGCAACAACAATCCTCCCAGCAGTGTATAAGGATTCCAGTTTTTCTTTGTCCTCACCAGCATTTGGTGTTGCTGGTCTTTTTGATTATACCCATCCTATCTGTTGTGAGAAGGTGTCTCATTGTGGTTAAATTTACACCTCCTTGATGACTAATGATGTTGAATGTCCTTTAATTTGCTTATTGGCTATTCATGTCTCCTTTGGAAAAATGGCTATTCAAATCCTTTGCCCATTTTTAAATTGATTATTTGTCTAGTATTTATTTATGTATTCTGTATAGAAGTCCTTTATCAGACATTAAAAAAGCCCCAAACCCACTGCCATTGAGTCAATTCTGACTCATAGTGACCCCCATTGAGTTTCCAAGGCTGTAAATCTTTACGGAAGTAGATTGCCTCATCCTTCCTCCCACGGAAAAGCTGGTGGATTTGAACTGCCGACCTTCTGGTTAGTAGCCCAGTACCTTACCTATTATCATACCACCAGTGCTCCTTTGGGAGCTCTGGTAGCATAGTGGCTAAGACACTTGCCTGCTAACCAGATGACTGGCGGTTCAAACCCACCAGCCACTCCTCGGAAGGAAGGTTGGGCAATCCTACTTCCGTAGTGATACTGCCTCGGAAACCCAAGGAGGGGTCACTATGAGTCGGGGCCGACTCGATGGCATATAAGTGCTCCTTTATCAGCTATATGATGTGCAAATATTTTCTCTCATCTGTGGTTGTCTTTTCTGTTTCCTAATGCTGCTCTTGGATCATAAAGTTTTAATTTTTATGTTACCCAGTTTTGGTGTCATATCTAAGAAACTATTGCCTAGTTCAAGGTCACCACCTTTTCTTCTTCACATAACTTTCTTCATGCCAAATTTTGTCTGCTTCCCTTATGAAGCCAAGAATTCTGTAATGCTCAGGAGGAAGTGCAGTGTCTGACATAACAGGTGGAAATTTGTTAGATTTATTTGTGAAAAAATAAATGAGAATGAAATACCTGCTTCATTTAGCTTCTTTTACCTAAATGGGATAGATGATAGAATCACCACCTTTGAATTATTTTTGAATGGTTACATCTACTTTTTATTCTGGGTAAAATGAACCGACTCCTCTTTTTTTTCATTCTCCCTCCACTCGCCAGTCTGGACACATAGACACAGATTTTATTCTCTCTCCTTGAGGGCAGAGATGATGACTTACTCATCTCTAACCCACAGTGTTTGGCATCTACAGTAGGAACAATAGGATTGTTTCATCCTGCTCACTTAATAACACAACAGAATTTCATATAGGCTTTCTTTCATACAAGGATTGTAAACAATGATCAAAACACTTTAATAGACATACTAAGAGTTGGGAAGGGAATATGACATATTTTCCAATATTTCCAGCAACCCAATATCTAGCATTAGGGGCAGGAATGGTTTAAAAGGGTTGCTTCATAGCTGAAATGGAAACATTAAAATTACAGTTATTAAGATGATAAAACATGAGGAAATGTTCATAATGGGAAAGGAGAAAGTATGTATTGTAATGTTAACTAAAAATAGCCTAATTTTCACTGAGTTTTTTTTTTTCGTAAAGTTGCTTACATTGTTTTTTTTATGTTTTAGCATATGTAAGTTAAAGTAAATGTTGCAAGAATAATTCTTACAACCTAAAAAATGAATAGTTAGGACATTTACCTCTTTAAATGAATTAAAAGTAGATTTTTTTCTTTGATAACCCTTAATAATAAAATTGAGTCATATTTATAGTGGTTTCATTGCTCTAGTAGAAGCTGGGAGGAATAGACCAGTATAGGATTTTCAAATATTTTAATATTATTGAAGTTTTCCTTGTCCAATATGGATATTTATAGGGTTGAAGTATAACATTCATGGTTCCTTGAATTCCTTAGATATTATTTCTGGTGTAGTATTGTTATTGTTATTTGTTCCTGCTGAGTACAGGTGACCAAATTTGGTATAGTTTATAATAATCTTAAAGCATTTTTATAGAGCAAGTTGAAAAATGTTAATACTCACCAAACATGTTAATATGCATACATATTGTTTAACAAAGTTATAAATTCTAGTCATTACTTGACTCAGACTGTCAGTTGTTAAAACGAGTTATTTTGTAAAGACTTGACTCTTACATCACCATCATCTTCAAATATTCGACCAGATAACCGTTAAGCTTCTTTACAGCACTGAGCTTCTGTAATTCATATTTTATATATTTCTGAATAACTTTAAACATAATAGTCCAGCATGTCAGCAGATACTACTTTGCAAAAGCAGTTCAGCAGTCACCATTCAAAACATGGTTGAGTTTCTACAGTGTGTCAGGCAATAAGCTTTGTCATGGGTTCTGAGGATAGAGCTGTAAACAAGACAGACAAGGTCCTTCACCATCAGAATGCTATATACTTTTTAAGTAACTTCGTGGAGCTATTACATGCAGTTTGGAAATCATGGCTTAGATAAATTATACAAAATGACTTTTGTATTCTGTAGCCTTTCCATAAAAAGCAATTATTATGAACAGTAAAGAAAATTATATCTTTAAAAATAGATAGAGGGGTATTAAATCTTCATCCATATTTAAAGCCCTTATTTAAAGTTAGGAGTAATGAGTAGTTGTGACATATACCTTTATTAACTATAAGTAAGTGTTTCTGAGTGACATTAAATATTATAGAATTTTATTTTCCTACCAGCAATTGCATCTTACCTATATGGAAGGAAAGTTTATATTTTAAGGATTCTAGTGATAACTACTATATTGTTGTTGTTATATACCATTGAGTCAGACCCAACTCATAGTGACCCCTCCTAGGGTTTCTGAGGCAGTATCACTACGGAAATAGATTGCCCAACCTTCCTTCCAAGGAGTGGCTGGTGGGTTTGAACCACCAGCCTTTTGGTTATCAGTCAAGTGCCTTAGGCATTTTATTTTTTTTTTAATTTAGACACAGTACCTATAGTAATAAGACTTACATGAACCAAGTGAATGTTTAAATATAACTTGAATATAAGACTAACTTATTAAAAGTTAATTAAATGATAGGCATAATAAAAGGATTGAAATTCTTATCTTTCTGTTAGCAGAAACAGTTAGGAAAAAGTGAAAATATACCCAGATGCAACTTCATCTCTCTAGTAGTAATACTAAATAAAGTAATGATATTAATATCTTATTATTTCCCTAAGTATTGTTCTTACTTGAACAATTAAGTACCTTTGACTTTTCAGTATAGTTAGGAATAGCTGCACACAAATTTTAGATGGAGTTGTATATTGTTTCTTATATTAATTTAAGCATAATTTTCTAGGTTATTAATGATCCTATCCATGGCCACTTTGAGCTCCACCCTCTCCTTATCCGAATCATTGACACACCTCAGTTTCAGCGGCTTCGATACATAAAACAGTTGGGAGGCAGTTACTACGTATTCCCTGGAGCTTCACACAACCGATTTGAGCACAGTCTGGGGTAAGAGGGAATTGGGAGTGGGGAAATAATAACATTACTTTCTTTGGCTCATGAAATAATTGTCTCATTTTATCATGTAGAGAATAAATAACTTTACAAAATGGTAGTAATATTACTATTTTTTAATTAATTAACTTTTAAAAAACTTTTTAGTGTGCTTTTGGTGAAAGTTTATAGATAAAATTGGTGTCCCATTCAATAATTAATACACATTTTTTTTTCATGACATTGATTGCAGTCCCCTCAGTGTAACAGCACTCTTTCCACTTCCCTTTGTTTCTCATTTCCATTGGTCCTTCTTTCCAAACCTTCCTGCCTTTTGAGCTTTTCCCTAGGCAAATACTGCCCTTTGATCTCATGTGGTTGATTGCTGCCAAGGAGTGCTTGCCTCCTAGGTGTTATTGTTCACTGTATAGACTTGTCTTTTGTTTAGCTGAAAGTTGAGCCAAGGTAGTAAATTCAGTTCCAGGCTTTAAGGGGGTCTAAGGGTCATAGCCCTGGGAATTCCACCAGTCTCTCAGACCAGTAAACCTGGTCTTTTTTAATTATTTTCATTTTTTTACCATATTTTCTTCCCACTCTGTCCAGGACCTCCTGTTGTGATCCTTTTCAGAATGATTAGCAGTGGAACCGGGTACCATCTCATCTAGTTCTTCTGGTCTCCGGGTCAGTGAGGCTGGGGTTTGCATTAGTTCTTTGGACTGGTTGTTTCCATGCATCTTTGATAATCTTCACTAGTCTTTGCTCCAGATGTAAAGAGACCAATAGTTACAGCTTAGCTGGGCACTCGCAAGTTAAGATCCCAGTAGCTACTCAGCAAAGTAGGATATAGAACATTGTCTTTGTGGACTGTGTTATGCCATTTCACCATGATGTTAATCAAGTCGAGACTATGATTCTGAGCCCCTCAGGTCCAGTGACTTATTCCCTCGAGTGTTTTGATTATGGCTAAGAAGTTTTCTTACCTGTGCCCCCTGTATTTCTACTATATTCATGGATATATTTGCAACACATAAAATACATATGTAGAAATATCCAGTCAAACCTATGTACGTTCGTGGTGTAATCCTATTCACCTTCCTGCACCTGTTTAACTTGGTGTCTGTTTATCCACTCATTATTAATTGTTACTACTTTTATTCCATGATTTTGTATGTAATAGTACTTACCTTTGTTGCCTTTAACTCCTGTGCTCCTCCCAGTGTCGTCCTTTTCCTTGATGATTTTGTGCTGACCTCCCCCTTACTGTATGTATATTGCCTCTCCTTTCACCCAAGTTAGTATGTTTCTACTCTCTAGTTAGTGGTTTTACTCTTCCTTCTTCTCTCACACTGGTAACCTTCAAGGAATGTTTCTTTTCTGTGTGTAAACCTTTTCTTGACTTTTTATAGTAGTGATCTCATACAACATTTGTGATTGACTAATTTTACTCAGCATAATGTCCTCTAGGTTCATCATATTATGAGGTGCTTCACCCTTATTCTTTAACATTGCATAGTATTCCATTGTGCGTGTGTTCTATAGTTTATCCATTCATCCGTTGGGCATTTAGGTTGTTTCCATTTTTTTGCAATTGTGAATAATGCTGTGCCGAACATTGTTGTTAGGTGTCACTGAGTTGGTTCTGACTCAGTGACATTGAGGCCTTTGATATACCTTGCTAAATTTTGTATACAGTTGATATATACTGTATACAGTATATATCAGTATATATTGTGCTTGAACAACACATGGGTTAGGGGTATTGATCCCCCCACCAAGTAGTTGAAATCCACATATAATTTTTAATTCCCCCAAAACTTAATTACTAATAGCCTACTATTGCCCAGAAGCCTTACTGATAACAAAAACAGTTGATTAACAAAGTTATTGTATATTTATTAGATTTTCGTAGGAAGACACTCATACACACACACATCACATAAGTTTATTAACTCTACAGGATGATGATGTTCACTGTTCATCAAGTGGAAGTGGATCATCATAAAGGTCTTCAGCCTTGTCTTCACATTGAGTAGGCTGAGGAGGAAGAGGAGGAGTTAGTCACGCTACCTCGTGGTTGGCAGAGGCAAAAAAAGTGGAGAAGGTGGAAGGCAGGCAGGAGAGGCAGGGACATTCAGTATAGCTTTATGGAAATACATAGTAATTTCTGTCTACTTTTTTTTTGCTTTTTCATTTCTTTACAAATATTGCTGTGTGTTACCATTCCTTCTTCTACCGTCATAGAAGGATCAATGTCATACTAGAAGTCAAGAGCAGTCTTGGATAATCAGAACCCTTCTGTAAGATTGTCTAATGTAAATTTCTTTTCTGATACCACTTCTGCATCTTCTTCCTCATCATCTCACACTGCTTTGGAAGCACTCATCTCCATCAGCTTGTCATCTGTTAGTTTCTCTGGTATGGTATCTGTTAGCTCTTAAATTCCCCAAGATCCATATCTTAAAAAAAATTTGTATATAATTGGCCCTGTGCAGTTCAAACCTGTGTTGTTCAATGGTCAGCTGTGCTTTGTGTGCTCTTAAAAGCCAGCTGAGATCCTTCCTGGAAAGCTTATGAAAGTATGTGTTGACAGTTCAGTTGTATGAAGTATTTGTGTATGAGTTAGAAAATTTAAATATACATATATTTAAAAGCTGATAATGTTATTGATATAACTAATCCTAGGAGTTTGATTTGTAAAAGATTCCTGTAGTCCCTATTTTATCTTGTACAGAATTCCCCTTTGAAAACAGATCATTTCCTTATCTATGAGGAAATATGTGTCAGAAAAGCTTTCACGAGCTTAGAGAAGATAGCACCTCCGTTATGTACAGTTATGTTGAGACTTTGATCTACTTTTTCTTTATAACATGTAGAGCCAGGAGGACATGGACAGGGAAGAACTGGAGAGTTTTTCAGATCTTCATGAAGTACTTATAGTGCATTACTTTATTATTTCTATTGAAACATTTTTACTTAGAACACAAGTATCTTGTTCTTGTTACCCAGTGCTGCTCTGATAGGAATATACCACAAATGGGGTGACTTGAACAAAAAGGAGTTTATTCTCTCACAGTTTGGAGGCTTTAAGTCCAAGTTCAAAGTGCCAGCCTCTAGGAGCTGGGTGAAAGTCCCTGAACCTTGGGCTTCAGCTCTGCCTCCTGCTCCTGGCCAACTGAAGCTGGAGGCTTTTCTTCACTCAGACAGCTACTGGCTGCTGAGGCTGACAAATCCAAAGTTGGCAAGTAAAAAGGCACAGTCCCGATATTACCAAACCACATGTCAGGCCATTAATTCAAGTCCTTTGAAAGTCCCAAGGTTGGCAGAGCATGGCAGGCTGCTGAAAAATGACACAGCTACATGCAGGGTTCAAGCATGCCATAAGCTGGAGACCGTTCCCCAAAGGCTTCTCCTTATGTACTGGAAGCAGACCACATCCCTAAGGCAGCTACTCAGTTGCTCACAGTAGAGTCTACCATGGAGTTGATTACCAGTCTCATCATGGGGAATAACTACATCCAGCTGCCCAGACACTCAACCAGGCCAGCCAAGTTGACACACAAAATTAACTACCACATGTCTATATTCAGATATTCATTTATTCATCAACAAATATTTGTCAGACACAACCAGGCTTACTAAACCACAAACAAGGTAGAAATTGGCTCTATTGTCATGGTGCTCAAGTATGATATATAGGTATACCTCCACAGATGCTGCGTTTTTTACAAACTCAGGGTTTGTGACAATCTTGTGTCAAGCACATTTATCAGAGCCATTTTTCCAGCAACATGTGCTTACTTCATGTCTCTGTGTCACATTTTAGTGATTCTCATAACATTTCAAACTTTTTCATAATACCCAGGGACGGGTTGCTATGAGTTGGATCTTACTTAACAGCAGTGAGAGAGAGAGATTGTACACTTAATAGACTACTTGTAGGGTGTAACATAATTTTTATATACACTGAACAATTCGTGTGACTCACTTTATTGCAATAGTCACTTTATTCTGGTGGTCTGGCACTGAACCCTGGTCTCTGAGGTATGCCTGTGGGGATTTTGTGAATGTTGCTACCCAGTTCTGATAGACTATTCTGTAAAGTTTCCCTAGAGATACATTAGTATGTTTCAGAAAAAGTATTCAAGCTTTTGAAGACCAGAGGTAACACTCATATTCTCAAACAGAGGAGTGACTCTTGTTTTCTTTGCTGTGCAGGGTAGGGTATCTAGCAGGATGTCTAGTTCGTGCGCTGCATGAAAAACAACCAGAGCTGCAGATAACTGAGCGGGATATGCTCTGTGTTCAGATTGCGGGGCTCTGTCATGATCTAGGTAAGCTGTACAAAGGTCCAAAGTTGTGATGTAAGACTGTAATCTAGACTACCACTCTTTGAAGAGGGAAAATCAAGCTAACGGAGAGAAATATGGAAGCTCTGTTTTAATTCTTTAGCATCAATGTAAATGTGCCATTACTTCTCCCAAGAATGATTCATAAACCCAGAAACCAAAGCCATTGTTGGTAAGTCCATTCTGACTCATAATGACTCTATAGGACAGGGTAGAACTGCTCCATGGTGTTTCCAAGTGAAAATCTTTATGGAAACAGACTGCCACATCTGTCTCCCATATTATAAGCACAAAGCATTTCTATTTTATTTTCTTGCAGTCTTTCAGTGAATTTCCCATGTTAATCATCTTGCTACAAGTTATAGGGAAAGACTTTCTGAATAGTGAGGTTCACTATTGACTATATGTAGGATAATGTGAATTTTATTTTTCTTAGATCCTTCTTGTTGAATAAAATAGCCATTTTTCCTTTAATTACTTTGTCAAATTATATTAATTCTTTTTATACCTAGAATACCTAATCTGATTTAGCAGATTAACAGATTTAGAGAACTCCTTTTCTTCCTGGGCCCATATGAGATCATTGTCCACTTGAGTCCAAATAAGAAAGATATCATCCCTTTCCTTTGACAAAGAGAAAAGGAACTGTCCCTGACAACTTCAATCACAGGAGTTTCTATCCTTATCCTTGTAGTTAATTTCTACTTCATAGGGGAGCCTGAGAGTTACTGTTGGGGGAAGTATCCCTGTTTCAATGACTAGATACTTAAAGAGGTAAAGTAGGGTACTCTTTTCTGTAAACGCTTGGACAGGTTATTCCCATAAGAGCTCTCAATAGGACCAGTGCCACCTTCTAGATAATAAATTTAACAGGATCTTGTCATTTTGAGAGGGAATCATATGGAAACCTTTGCTGGTACCCAGGAGTCTGAGCTCTGCAGTAATGACCCTTTATGCACAGGCTAAGACTACACAGAAGGCTCAGGAGGTCCTGAAACAGCCTCAAAATGTGTATATTTGTTTTGAAATATGTGTATGATAAATTTGCATAAGATGTTTTTAAAGGATAGGAGTACTAAAGTCTAAATATTCTCTTGACTGCACTCGTTGGTGGATTGTCCTAAAACTTCTGTTTAATCCACAAACACTCAATCTGAAGATTCCAAAAGTTAATATGCCTTTAATATTAACATTACTTTTAGTTACACAAAACTGTCTTTTTATCAGGTTATGTAAGCTCCAGTGACTCTGAGACTTCCCTATGGGGAGCTTACTTATCTATATTGTCTGCTTCCTGTTCTTGTGTTTTAGAAAATAGGAAGGAAGCAGTGTCCCCTCTGTGATGTATTTCTAGATTATTAATTTCTCTTGATAGTCACAGTTAACTAAAGAAATAGAAAAATGAATCACATTTTTACCAATTTACAAACATTTTTGTTGTTTCTAAGGCTGCTTTTGTTTTTAAGGTCATGGACCATTTTCTCACATGTTTGATGGAAGATTTATTCCACTTGCTTGCCCAGAGGTAAAATGGACGGTATGTATTTATATATTTGATATGTAATAAACAGAAAGACTATTTGAGAAGGTTATTAAATTATCTGTTTGGTTCTACTGTTATGTTATAGTATATTTCCCATTGTAGTTTTCAGGGAGTGTGTATGTGTGCGCACGTGTGTGTGTGTGTGTTCATTTTATTCTCATGGGAATTTGTGAGAAAGGAATTATTCCCCTTTTACAAGTAAAGAAACCTGAAGGTTACAGAGCTGTGTTGATGCACCCAGAATCACGAAGCTGGTAAATGGTAGAACCAGCACTAACAAAGCATGTTTCTTAGCTACCAATTGCACTCCAAGAAAATGAAAATTTCTTTCTACTCTATTGCACTATTTTAAAATAATAACATGAAAGGTCAACTCTAGTTTTGACTCATTTGGTATGTAACTAATTTGGCAGTAACTAGTACCAGCTGAGTTTCATCATATATATGAAATTAACCATTTTTCAATTAGGCATTTGCCCATGATTGACCCCTATTTTTGGATTTAAAAAAAATTTTTTTTGAAGTAAAATTAGGTTGGCTCCCCTCCACTTTTTATCATATTGTGTTTCTGGAATCTGGAGTCAAAAGGATATTAATATATTATTGTAAGTTTAACATAACCACTGTTTTTTCTTCTTCTTTTTTTAAGGTATAATTCATGTATAATAAATTACACTGTGTAATTTATTACACCTATAGTTTATTGAATTTTTTTCCTTTTATTATGGTGAAAACATACATACCAAGACATTCGCCAACATAACAACTTCTGCATTTACAGCTTAGCGACGTTGATGACATTTTTAATGTTGTGCCACCGTTATTGCTCTTCTTTTCCAAAATATTCTATTACCATTGGCATAAACTTAATGTCCCATAAACAAAAACTTCTCCTTTCCCCCTCCCTCCTACCCTACTTTTGTTAGGTGCCATTGAGTTGTCTCTGACTCGCAGTGACCCTTTGTACAACAGAATGGAATACTGCCCTATCACGCACCAGCTCACAATCCTTGCTATACCTCAGCCCATTGTTGTAGCCACTGTGTCAGTCCATTTTGTTGAGGGCCTTCCCCTTTTTTTCTGACCCTCAGCTTTACCAAGCATGATATCCTTCTCCAAGAAATGGTCCCTTCTGACAACATGACCAAAGTAGGTAAGATGGAGTCTGGCCATTCTCGCTTCCAAGGAGCATTCCGGCTGCACTTCTACCAAGACAGATCTGTCATTCTTCTGGCAGTCCGTGGTACTCTCAGCATTCTTTACCAGCACCACAACTTAAAAGCATCATCTCTTCTTCAGTCTTACTTATTCATTGTCCAGCTTTTGCATGCATGTTGAAAATTCCATGTCTTGGATTAGGTGCACCTTAGTCTTCAAAGAGCCCTCTTTAGTATGTAGCACTTTAAAGAAGTTTTTTGCCCAGGGCAACATGATGTCTGATTTTTTGACTGTTGCTTCCATTGTTGTCGATTGTGGATCCAAGAAATATGAAATCTTTGACAACTTCAGTCTTTTTTCCATTTATCATGATGCTGCTTATTGGTCTGGTTGTGAGGATTTTCATTTTCTTGGAGTGTAATCCTTATCACAGAATGTCACCTTTAATCTTCATTATTACATGCTTCAAGTCATCTTCATTTTCAGCAAGCAAGGTTGTGTCATCTGTATATCGCAGGTTGTTAATGAGTCTTCCTCTAATCCTGATGCAGTGTTCTTCTTCATATAGTCCACCTTCTTGGATTATTTGCTCAGCATACAGATTGAATGAGTATGGTGAAAGGATACAACACTGATGCACACTTTTTCTGATTTTAAACCATGCAGTATCCCCTCATTCTGTTAGAACAACAGCTTCCTGGTCTATATACA